CTGCCTTTTTGTCAGCAGTTCCTGACAGCTCTTCTCAGTGTGTCTTTTTAACCAGCTTTGCTGGCAGATCATGGGACTTTTATTTTCCTGTCTTGTAAGAATCTCACCTGTGATAATGTGAAAAGCTTTACTAATGTGAACTAACGTGATTTGTATTGAAAAACAACTCTCTGCAGGCTTTTACCTTCTGGGTGTTTGCAAAGAGTCCCAGTATTTTTCTAGAGACTGAAGATTATTCTGAGTGTGCCAGTTCTCTTTCATCCCACCACAGATTTCTAGATGGAATAGGAAGAAGTGATATTCCCACATTTCAAAAGGTCACATTGTCTAATAATAATCAAGTTTTCACAATTAACACTAGATTTCCTCAATTTAAATCAAGGTGCCATGAGACAGCTCCTGTCCAGTTGTTAAAGCATCACCAACAATTAAAACAAATACTGGTTTTGTCCATTCTCTGATATCACTGGGAAAGATTTTGGGGAAAGAGGAGTTAACAAAGCCCCAGAGTGAGGGATGGCAGCTCTCAGTGATGCCATCGAATATTTTTGGCAAAAAAATTGAGGCAATAATTGCTTGAAGCTACAACAGCATTAAATACTAGAGAAGTAGAAGGGTTAAAAGAAAACAAACCCAGAAACAAACTTCTGATGGCTTTTTAGAGAAGGTAGACATGTAACAGCCACACTGAGTATCTGTACACAGAGTTTAGAAAACTTCACAAAAGCCAAGGCAGACAATGGCTGGCACTGCTCCCCAGAACTTCTGGGAGTATTAAAGATGGGCTCTTTTAAATTCTTCCTGAGAAAAGTCTCAGCCAGCTCCAAGGGCAGCTCCTGTACAGTCCTGCTTTTGTTTAGTTAAGACTGCATGAGCAGAGCAAGCATGAACTCCTTCTGCTCCCATTGTGCCCCTCTGCAAACCTACAGTTATGAAGCAGAAATGTTTGTTTGCTGCAGTTTTTCTGCTGAACTAAAAGGCCACTAAAAAAATAAATCTAACATGAAGCTGATCAGCTCGAGGTACAGGCCCTGACCCTGCAAACACTGGGGCACAGCTCATGTCAGTATAATTTCCCTAATGCCCCAGTCAGAAGCCATGCAGGGGCTCTGTGCCACAGGGATGTTAACATTCCCAGCAGGATCCTCTGCCAGTCGGAGCGCTATGGAAACATGGTGCTGTGCCAGGGATTTCACAACAGCTCTTTAGGTCAGACTGGTTTGGAAGAAAATACCACCCCCCTTCCACTGGGCAAATATCAAGCCTGACCTCTAGCCCAGGAGGTACCAGGAGGATTACTGAGCTCAGTGAGTGGCTGAGCTCTTTTGTCTGTGAAATAGTGGAAAAAACCCAGGAGGGAATAAAGCAGTGCGAGGGAAGTTCCAATGTTACAGCCAAGCTACTGATTTGCCTGAACATATCCCACCCCAGCAGGGCAAAGTCTGGAGAGCAGCTCATGTCAGGCAAGTAATAGCTGGTCTCCTGACCACGAGCATGGGGAGGTACATGTACTTTATATAAAGCTTTCTAATGTGATTATTCAGTGAGGCAGAATTGCTTAAAATGATATATTCAATTTGCATGAGGAGCCTTCTAAAAAAAACAGCTTTTAGTCTTCTCTAAGAAGGGTACAGGACAATTAAATTGGAGTTTTAATTGTGTCTTCATTACAGTGAAGAGTTGATAATTACCAGAGGCCCTTCCAGGCACTGTTCCCCACCTTCCAGCTGCTGGAGAGTGACTTCAGTTCTGAACTCTACCAGTTTTGCTCTAAGAAATGTTGAAGTATTGCTCATCAAAGGAAAAAGGCAGACTGGGCTTTGAATTAAGAGGGAAAATCACAACAGTGTTCACACAATAGGGAAAAACTAACCCCAGGAAAGGTTTAGGCAAAAAAAAAAAACAAGGATAGATTGGAACTACTTATTTATCTATTGCATCATGTTCAGTGAGTTTACATAGTTATCTGTAAGTAAAATAATAGGAATTAATCTGTCTCTGATGGCAGCCATAGCATGAGCATGAAGCTCAGAACAGGAGGCACATTCTTAACACATTCCAGCGCCACTAGTGGGAATTCAGATCCTGGGGGGTGGGTAAGAGACCTGTGCTGTGTGATGTCACCCCACAGAACATCCAGTTATTCCTCTGATTTCTTACTCATGCAAAACTTCATGGTCCTTAAACAAGAGCTCTGCCAGACAGAATTTAATTCCCAGTGCTCCTGGTCGCAGGTGGGAAACAGGGATTGCATCAGAACCCACAAAATCCTGTAGCTCCAAAAATGCTTTTTGCCGTTTGTCTCTGAGATTGCTGGTTATGAGGGGTTAGTTACCAGGATAATTCTCTAGGAACAAGAAATATAGGAGGATACTGGGAGAAATAATAAGGACTGGAAGCTGATATTGTCATCCTTTGTCTCCTTTTGTAGCTGAACAGCAGCCCCAAAAGTCTGGAACAATGACAGCTCCAGACAGTCCTGCTCGGGACTGGGTTACAAGAAGGATCAGCTCAAATGATCTCCTTGGCCCACTGAGTAAGCCAAGCTGAGAACTTTAAGCTGATGTAATACAGAATTTTACTCAGTAAAATCCTATAATCGGTTGACAACAGGAGGAAAACATGAAAACAGATAAGAACCAGATCAAATAATGACTTTGTTCAAGATGGAATTCAAGCAAAGGCGCAAGTGCAATGTATTTCATGTGAGCAGAAAAGAAGAAACCAGACATGAAAAATGAAGCATAATTTGTGGAGAAAAATCAAAAGGAAAAGTATCTTGTATTTATCATCACAGCACTTACGACCTCTAGAACACTCAGCAAAATAGGAGGTGACGGAGAGATTGTAAATTCACTTTGGAGAAGGAGAGCAGAATACTGGGAAATGCTGTCCCTGACTCTAAGAAATGATATTGGCTGGGTTGAAATATTCTGTGCAATTATTTGAATTTTCCACAATAAACACTGCAAGAGGAGAGAAAACACAGGTGGTGCAATACATATAAGGTGCCAGCAAAATGTGAAAATTAAAAGGATTTTATTGACTGATATGTTCTTCCTGAAAACTTATTGAAATGTACAAACTGGACATTCAGTAACTGATTTGTACATTCAGTTATGTTACACTGATTCTTGTAGCCACTTGAAAGAGAGAATATTATTTTCACTGACAGGATGTTCACATCATCGCAGACACCAAAAGTGTTGATACATTCTAGACTAAAGTGAAACCAAAACAGAACTGGACATCATGGGACACCGAAATGCCAATTCCATCGACTCGACATGCGCCAGTTTCACACACCAATTCAGGAGTACCTACTGGACAGAGAGTGAAACACCCCACCAAGCATATGTCTGAAGTCACAACTGCTTATTAAATTAAACCCCTTTTCCCAGATTTCTGAGCTATTTGTAGAGAGAAATGTATTGAACTGAATCGATTCCCTGCGGAGTGTTCAGCCAACCACGTCTTGGCAGTATTTCTTTGAAAACCGTGGGCCACACTTCGCAGAATTCATTTTGTGCGACGAGTTTCGACGGGTTTCAGAGTCTTTGCCAACCAGAATTCCCTATTCTCTGTCCATAAGCCATCACCTGATACAGTATTATCCCCAATTAATGACTGCCTGTATGTAAATCCAGAGCTACTGACTGATTTCAGGCCTGCTCCAACACCCAGGTGTAGTTCCGAGCTCCCCGAGGGCTTCAGAGCTTCTGATTGCACAACTCCCACGTTTGTTTTTAAAACCTGCAGTCATTAAAATGCTACAAAAAGGCCACAGCAATGGCAATCCTCCGTTCTGCTGCTGTAACTGAACACTGGGCAGTGCCTGTGTAGCAGGAGATATTAAATACTGGAGGCCATACCTCACCTGGGGAGCTGTCTCACAAAGAACTCCTGTCTTTGGACTTGTTTTCAACTAACTGACCTTTTAATTACAGTCCTGTGTATTTTCTCCCCCCTGGTACAATCCTAAGAGCAAAAGGTCATGGGTTCTGAAGAAAAGAGGTCTTTTTTATAAGCTCAATACAGTACTTTTATATTTCAGACTATGATATACAGTGTATACCATAAATTAAGACAAATACTTGTCACTTTATCTATGTAGGCACAAGTAAATCAGTGACTTTACTGAAGTGGAGAAATCTTCAACGGGATCATGATTCTGGATTCCATTTCCTGAATAAGGGGCACTGGAAAAAAAAAAAAAGAGACAGGGTTTAATTTCACTAACAGAGACCATGAGCACACTCAGTTTGAACAGCTTTTATTGTCTTCAAACTACTCCCCCTGCCAAGTCATCAGTAACACCAACATCCCTGTAACTGAAGCACAACAGTTTTGAGAACAAGTGATTTTAATACAATCTCTCTGCTCCTTTGAAGACAAATATTTCTGTTCCTTTTCACCACAATGGAAGTTATCTTACATTTTTCTGGTATACTTCCTTTGAAATGCACTCCATGGAACCCAAACCTGACATGCTTGGCATGCTTTTGTGAGTTTTGTTATGAAAGCTTTCTTTGATCTCAAAGATCTCCTGGCTTCTGGTTCTAAAGTCTAAATTCCCCTTCCCAAGGAATGCATTTAACAAAGCTCTCGTATTTCAGGAAATATTAGAGGTAATAATTTAATAAAAGGTAAATTTCACTTTTGGCTCCCTACATTTTTGGGCACAAGCATTTACATGAATCTGTTCTAGAGGAGTGCTCGTATAAAAATTCACTATTAATGCAGCAATTTTTTAGCACTTTTCCAAGTTTGTAAAATCAACAGCAAAATTCATTTTACAGTTTAATGCAATGTCCCTCCTTTCTTTTAGAGCAGAAAAACTAACTCATAGACACACACACACTCCCCACACTGAGATGCAAAACTTTTTATCATTGTGGGATGTGCTGAGGAACAGAAATGATGGCACACACCAAAGTCTGCCCCCAGCATTCCAGTGAAGTTAATAGGTTACCTGTGTAATAGACTAGTTCATCCCAGCCAGGTTTATGCCACGCAGCGTTCCTTATATCTTCTCTGGTTTGAAGATCTTTGTAGGCTGGGGAGGGAAAACAAGCACAAAGCTTAGAAGTAACTCCTTTTCCTTCTGCACAGGAATAGCTCCCTTAAAAAGTATACTAGGGAATAATTAGGAGGCTGCAAACACTGGGAAGGAAAAGTCAGTTGCTCTCCATGAAAACGAAAAGCTCCCAAACCAAGGCAAATAGAAGGAACCGGGGAAGAGAGAGAATGTCTCGGACACAGGTAAGACAAATAATGCAAGAGTATAGTTCTGTATGAGTGGTGTCAGATTTATAATGCTGGAATATAATATTCTGAATTGTCAGATATGAAATCTGCACATTTTCTAACATCAATATTAGACTGAGTTTCTTCGAGTTGAAGCAAACCTAACATGTGAAAACAGCTGGGTATTTGTGGAGATTAATGCACAGAGAAAGCCAAAACACCTCGATGCAGGAATGTAAATAAATGCTGGACTTTCCTTTTTGCAGGTGTTGGGATATGTGATGCTTGAAATGAAACTGTAAAAACCTGATTTCAGCATGAATGGGGATGGCAGGACGTGGTGTGTCATGGTTATGGTACCGAGAGCAAATAGGTAGTTCCTAATAAGAAAGGGACATGAGAAACTGTTGATGGAAACAGGACAAAACAGGAAATGTTCACTTTTCCTTGCTTGTTAAAGAATCAAGTTACCTACACAAAAATTAGGAAGATCAACAGTGTCGATGCAAAACGAAACAAAATAACCCCTTCTGGGATATTCCTTTGCCTTTTGTAGAAACTTTGTGTCTCCTGGGCAAAGTCCCCAGCCTGTGAGGGGCTGACTCAGTGAGAAAAAAAGCAAAGCACAAGAATTTACCCCAAAGGTGATGAACCATATACAGCTGTCCAATTTGTGAGAAAAATCCTCCAACTGCTTCATTACTGTCCTGTCGGAAACGAATTGCACGAGCCCTAGAGAGGAGCAAAGCAGGCATTAGAACCAGCAGGGCTGGGGAGGAAATAAGTGATAACTGAAAGGAAAACACAGTTGAAAGGAAGCTGAAATGTTAAAACAGCATTTGCAGTATAATTCAGCAATTAAAAATAATAAAAAGTCTGCAATGCACTGATTTTCAGCACTAAGTAATGAAGATATATCCACGTATCTTGTTAGAATGCATTAAAATTGGAGGTCTACAGTTTCACACGACTGTGCATTAATCATTTTTCAACAGCAGATTCAGTAGAAAGATAATTGCTGGCGCAGTGTAAAGTGGCCTTTTTATACCAGGTTCTTCTAAAGCTAAATCCTTGACTTTCAATCATATAATTTTTGCCATTCGTTTTCCACAGATTGGAATTTCCACAGGGTGGAATACAACTTTTTTACTCACTGAGACCTCTGTACAAATAAGTGTTGTATAAATAAGATCAATATTTCTCTTAATTACAAATCTGTTGCATCTTATAAAACAGACTGGCTACCAGTATAGATATATGCATTTTATATTCTAAATTCAGTTTGTTCAAATTACTGTAATTGAAAAACTTATATTAATGACCACGACACATCTGAAAGTCCTCACCTTTGTCAAAATAATTGAAAATAGTCCAAATTGTTTAACTATCAACCACTAGAATTGCAAGGACAGTGAATGCAAATGGAAAGAAACTTACACTGGTTTTAAGTAAGACAAAATCAGAAGCATATAATCAACAGAAAAATATCTCAAATGCTTTTAACCTATCTATTAAAATGGAAATGTAGCTTTTCAAGAAACAACCTGACTTTTAAAGATTCAAAGAGCCAAGATTTAGCCCATTTAAACCAAAAGTGGTCTTATGAAAGATGAACTTAGTTTCACAGTTAACTGCCACACTTCCCCAAGAAGTGCTTTCTGCTGAAAATCAATGGTTTCTGCTATACTGCAGCAAACTAAAAGGGTTCTGTGAAGGAAAGCCAAGCCACAGAGCCCACAGTGTTGTTTGTACACAAAATTCCTCTTTCTTTCCTCAAAGGATGAATTAAGGGTTGAAGGACTGTTTTACAAGTTGTGCAAGTAGAGCAGCAGGTCATTAACTGGGGGATTGGCTTTGGTACCATCCTGCCACCTCCAGTCCACGGATTTTAAACACACATCTCTCAAACAGGAGAATTCAAGTGCTAAGGCAACACTCACCAGTAATTCCCCCACTCGATCATTGTTCCGGGCTATGAAAACAAAACAGAAAGTTAAAACTGCATTTTAAAGAAAAGTCAGGACAGCTTTCACAACATTTATGTATGAAAAACACTCTGTATTAACAAAATCACTTCCTTCCAGTGATAAGCATGTTAGAATAATCTGTAATTACTCTGTTTACTGACTGTATTACCTCTTAGTCATCTGCCTGAAGTATCCAAACAAACCACAGGGTTTTCAGCCCTGCAGACATCAGTATCTTGTTGGAACCTGCCTTCACTTTGGACTCCACACTTGGAGAGCAACAATGACTCAGACTCCAGCTTTGATAAGATCCAGATTTTTAAGACAAGGTCTGTTTTCCATTTGCATCTTACAAACACCCTTTGAACATTTTTACGACAGCACGGAGCTTAAAAAAAAAAAAGAAAAAGAAAATTAAACTTACTCTGAGTTGATAGGATCTCAATTCATAAATATTAGGCCCATCTCTGGGAACAGGTTCATTCCAGAAACTGAACTCCAGCAGTAATTGGTTCTTGCGTGAGAGGAGCATGTTACCTCGTTCTTTGCGGAACTCTATGAATTCCTAAAAAACAATCATGTGATCCCTGTCAAACTGGGGGTTATTCTTCAGCAACAAAAAGCAGTACAGTATACGGCAGTGCAGATTTGTTTTTTTTTTTAATGCTGCCACAGGGTTTTAGGAGAAATCCTTTCAATTGTAAAGGCATCTGAATTCCCCTGACACAGCTGAAAATTCCAAGGGCCGTGTTGATACAGCAATAAATGTGTTCCATAAAGCATTCAGGTACTAAACCTCAGTACTTCTGAATATGAAAAAATCCTTTTCCAAAGAGGTTTCTGAACTTGCACAGGAAATGATGAGACACTGAAGCAAAAGTTGGTATCCAAACCTGCAGGTTTTTTTGTTCTGTTCTTTGTTCTGAGTAAAATAATCCATTGTAACAAAATCAATGCTTTTTACCTTATTTTGACGAAGTTTACTCATGACCTCATTGAGAGCTGGATAACCTCCTTCATATCTCCACAAATGAACTGAAACAGAGAAAAGGAACCTTTTTCAGGGATGTCACAGACCAGGGCTAAACCTCGTGGAAAAATCACAGTACAAAATGCTCTTCACGCTACAGAATTATACAAAAATAGAATCAGGTAGCAGGCTTAAAAATAGATTTTCATTAACGAAAGTACTACACATTGGGATATTTTAAAAATAATGGAATCGTCTGTTTTTTGAAAAGGTTTCTCTTCAAAAATTTTGCAATTGACTCTGAAGATAATTTCTGAATTATTATTATTATTATAGTAATTATAATTACTCAGGGAAATTTCTGAAAGGGCTTTTGGTTGCCATGCTAGTAAGATGTGATGACTTGACATGACTGTTATTGAAATTAAGATTCAATTTAAGAGGATGACTTAATTCCAAAAACGTGCTTTATACCAATTTCATCTAAGAGCAGTAGAGGGGCAGACTTTTCAGTTCAGTAAATTACTCCAGCACAAAAGCAACACACTTTCTGTAGGACATGAAAAATTATGCAAATGTTATTTTTGAGATAAACATTAATAAAGGCAGAAGATATATGAACATACTAGAACTGTTACATTTGCTAGGATTTTCCCCCAAAAAACAATTCCAGAACATGTATCTACACTGAGTTTTTTTCAAAGCATCCTGTCTTTAATAAATCAGAATAAATCCCTTTAATAAATCACAAAAAGATTTATTTACAAGCACTTAACAGAGCAAGGCAATACTTTCACCTCACAGAATCACAAAAGCTATTTTCTCTCCTCTAAAGCAGTTTTGTGCCTTTTCCAGGAGAGCACATGAGGCTAATGTGAGGCTCTTCCCTGTGACAGCAGATTCACCCAGTGCTCCTGCTGCCTCACCCCCAGGGCAAATTTGATAGATCCACCTAATACTAACACAGCCTGGGCACAGGTACTGAGCAAGTCACACCCCATAATCTGCTTTATTACACTGCTAGAACTGCTGCAATAACACTGCCAGGGCAGGCTGTGGATGCAATTACAGATACAGTCTGTGTTAATATGTTACAAAAGCAGCCACTGAGAAATTCCCAATTCAATTGTCTTCATTCCCCAATTCCCCTTCAACTTCCAGAACTGTCTCTCAGACATTGTTTGGTTTATCTGCTGTTATTTCTCTGCTTTTATTTCTTTGCATTTTTTCAGTGTCAATATTGCAATATGCTGTGAGTGCAGGGAAAATTAAAGTGTGCATGAGTATATTTTTCAATTACAAAGCACTGACACTGATCCTGGTGTAGCTCTAACCACGGAGCTACAGAACCTCTGTGTATTTGTATTTGTGGCTTCCCACTCCTTCAGTTTCCCAGAGTTTAGGACATTTTTCAGGTTTTCTCTCTGCACTAGACTTTTTTGGAGTTACCTCTGTAGCAGCTCTTCAGTCATTTCTAGTTCCAATGTTTTCAATCTGCATAGTTAGGCAGTACCCTTGTATGAACATGAACAGAAATACTTTTAATTTTCCCCAGTAATGCCCGAGTTTATTGTTAAGTTTACAATGCAGTGATTTCTTTCAGATGGTTTGAATGACTTGCATTTCATTACCATACAGCAATTACAGCATGAGAGCCTGAGTAAAGCCTTTATACTGGCCAATGAGGGATAAATAAACTCTGGCTCTGCAAGCCTTTGCCTTTACCCTAAATATTCAGGAACACGATCTGTGCCCACGAAAAAGGACCACATTTTACGAGCATTTCCCCAAAAACTGTTAATCTACCACCTGGAAAACATGAAAGTGTATTAACAATAGGACAAATTTTAGGGATTAAAGCTTTACTGTCAAACTCAGCACGACAAAAGCAAGCACTGCAAACGTTAACACGGCCAAATAACTGATGCACCACCCCCTTGCTGAACACATTGCCACAGGTTTTATTGTCAACAGAGATGATTTAAAGAGAAGAAACCTGCCAAGCACACGTTTCACTTGCATGGTTTTACATTCTGTTGTACTTCTATCTCCTACCAGCCTGATCTTGCTCTCCGTACCACGTGTTCCAAGTCCCCACCAGTGCACATGGGTAGTGTTTTTCTTCATGAATCTTTGGCAGCACCTCTTGACTTGAAAACAAGGAATACAGACACTAGGTTGCATTGCCTTCAGGGAGGCCACAGTTGATATGTATAACAAATCACCACACAGCATTATGCTAGGAAAATTCACAAGCTCTACTGTTCAGAGGGAAAAGCTGAAATACCGAAATCTGCTACACAGGGGGGAAAGGTTGCTACAGCAGCGTGAAAAATTAAGGTCTGTGTTACCATTAGACTGCAGGACAAATACAAAGCATGGGAGGATTCTTTCGGTGCAATAAATTATGTCTATCACCTAAAAGGTTAAACAACACATTAGGAAAACAAATATCAGGGTGTCTCACTTACAGAAAATGCAGCCTAACTACATGGGTGACTTGCTTGAGGAAAAGCTTTTCTTTTTCAAGGGAGGGAGAACACACAAAATTAGGAAAGTACAGTCTTCTGTACCAGTTACAATGCTATTAATTGCTGGGCTGAATGAATAAAAATGAGTATTTTGATAGACAAAATGATGACTGGTACTCACACACTTATTGGTTTCTACCATTTCAGAAAGTGGTCTTAGTTTGAGGCAACTTACCCACCAATGCAAACAGTGAAACTGCCTTAAAAATACCTCCAACACAAAATTTCTGTTTTGACTATTTCCAGTATTTCTAACATTTTTTCAAACTTCAGAAGTGCCCTACATTAGCATAAGGAAATTAAGTTTTACTGATTGCTGACTTGGCCAAGGCAGCCTTCACTGCACCGTGCTTTGATGAGTAAGTCAATTAGTCTGGTTGAACTTTGCCTTTTATATTTTTCCCTGAATAATTACCCTTCTTACTCAGTTTGGCTCATAAGCAACGAGTCTCTGCACAGTATCAAATAATAAAAAGTAGGCTGGTCTGGGGCTGGGAGTCATTAGATATGAGTTTTCCTCTTGATTCTGCCACTGACTTTGCAGACAACCTTGAGCAAATCTCATTACCAATTTGTACTTCTAGATTTCTCACTACACAGTGTAAATAATATGATAAAACGACTCTCCAAGGACATTTTCAAGGATGTTTGACCATCAGTTCATTTTTTCAGAGCAGCGTGAGATCCTAGAAAGGCAGTTTTAAACAGGAATGATAAATTATTACATAACCCTACAGTATACTGTTGCAAATTATAGGAAAAAAATGCCCACAGAATACTTTAGGAATACTATCTTTTTCCTTTTCAGAAATAACTGTCCCTAATTCTTCAGAAAGGGTCCTTAACCACAGTGATTCACAAAGTGCTCTTGTAATTGTCCTCATTACATTGGTTTTTTATTAGCACATGATGACTAATCCTTATTCTGATTTGATACAGAATTAACCTGTTCATCTTTTATTTAGGGAGAGGAAGGAGGGAAGTTCAGAGAGGTTTAGTTTTGTTTATTACTCCTTTCAAGTTTTCTCCTTCCCTGAAATACTTAAAATCTGCTTTGGAAAGAATAAATCTAACCACACATATTTCATCTACATGCTGTCAGCAGTTTCTTTCTTTGCTATTGTCTCTTTCCTTGCAAATAGAAACCTCTGCTTTCACTCAACATTTAGGCAGCTCATGAAATAATGCAGAGAAGTGGTTCCCTGTCTTGCATAATTGGACGTGTTTATTAAGCTTTTAAACAGAAAGCTGGTTGAATGCTAATTGTCCTTCCCTGTGTATTTATGTTAAAGAACAAACAAAAAAAAGCTAAAAATACCTTGAATGAATGTTATTCTCGTGGATTTCTATGTTTGCACGGAAAGGAAAACAGCTCTGGGTCATCCAGCCCCATTTCAAAGCTGAACAGATGAAGGTGCTGGATGAGCCACTCATGGCTGTGCAGCCAACCAGTAACAGTGGGGGACATTAACTGGGAGCTGTGAACTTCTTCCCCTCCCTCCAGCCCAGCTCACCAACACAACTAAAAAATTGGTTGCAGTGGGGTATCAATATGCTGGGAATGTTTTATTTAACTGACAAGTTGGCCACTGTCAGTGAGAAAGCTTTGCTGAGTGTGAGGCTCACTACAATTCCAAATTTAAACACTCAGTTCTTTAAAGGCAGCTGTTCTGGCTCCAGAGGGGTGATTGTGTAGGCAGAAGAGGACTAACATTTCTACAGTTTCATCCTTAAAGTAATAAGTTAAAAATGTGATTAATTAATATGTTTATAAAGCTGTAACTTTTTGGGAAACCTGTAACACTAACCCTCCCTTTGGAAGAAATCACCCCAATGTAAATACTCTACCCAAGGGTTTGTGTAATTCTTTAGGAGCAGATCTCAGTAACAGGACTTGTGGAAAAGGATATAAATGAGCTGAGAGAAAATCAACCCCGTGGGTTTTAACATCTCCTCAAAATTGTACTTCACTTTAATACTGGTGTGTAGTTTTACTTATAGATGATCTCTCCCTTTCCTCCCTGCATGCAGACAATAATCATCCTCAAGACATTCCTACCTGGCAGCTGCAGTGGGACATGCTAACATTCCAGCTGCATGGATCAGTAATTTTAAGACCATTAAGGGAAGGGGGAAGAGCTGTTCCAACAAATGTCACCCAAGCTCTCACAACAGGCATCATCCTGAATTGCAGCTTAGGAAAACACCACCTCCAAGAGGGAAAGGAGGAGTGAACTAAGCAAAGGATCTTTTGCCATCTCTTTCCAAGAATAATATGATCTCTTTAATACCAAATCCTAAAAAAGCAGAATTTTGCCACCTCCCCTTCTAAATAACTACAATATCAGCCAATTTTCAGACCAGCTTGTGATCAAATCAACATGTGTAAAACGTGAAAACATAACACACACACTTACCAAAGCTTGTTGTAGGCCTCTAGACATTCTGGTTTTACATTGTGAACTGAAACAACAACAGGACGTGAGACATGGGGGACCAGAATAAAAGAACTGGTAACATTAAATACAAAACCACCACTCACACTGTATTTTGTACAGACTGCTGGTCTCTCTTTTGGCCAAAAGGTTGGAGTGGGCATCTTTCCTTGGATCCACTTTGCGGACGAAGAGGGATTTTAACCAACTGTCCTCGCGAGGTCTGTGAGCTGAGGATCCCAGTCCCCTGCACAGCAACAAGGAGGTTTTACTGGCACCAAGGGAATTCCCACCACGAAGGGAACACAGGCACAATCAAGTTTAATACAAACAGTACCATAACACACAGTTACATATATCCATTACTAAAAATTCCCACTGTTTTTTTTTCTCCTAGCAAGGAAAATGTTGTTCATTCCCCACTGGGATTTAGCCTCTCCCAACCCATTTCACCAGCTACAGTTAACCACACACTATCCATCTTTATTCTCTCTGCACAGGACAGGGAATGGCTGCTTTTCCTCCCTCTTTATCTCCTTTTTAATCTTTTCTTAGCTCAGGGTTGGGTCTGCCATGATGTAGATAGACAGGAGTGAAAAAGAGCAAAAAACATGCGTAAGTAAAACTGTGTACGGTGTAAAGAGGGAAGAACCTGCCATATGTTCCTGTGTTGCTTAAATACAGCTCTACAAAAGGAAAAGTTAAATGGCATGTCTTTCAGGAGAAAAAAATAGCATGAAAGTCTAATGTGGGAGAAAAAAAAAATACAAGTGGCAGAAAACAAACAGCCTGCAAATATTTCAGTTCCAAATTCTGGCAGCTGCACCACGTAGAGGTACCAGGTCCACGCTCTTTGCACAACATTCACGTTTCCCTTTCTTTGAAACAGAAGAATTTCATTGTCCTTTTTTTTATCTAATCCTTATTCACTTTCAGCAAGTACTCTTTCAAAATAATATCAGCTCCCTTTACATCGCAGAGCACACGAAACAACTGATAACTGTAATTTTTTTGAAATGATGTGTTAAAGGAATTGTTCTTCTCTTTTTTCAGCTCAAGAGCCCTCAATCACCAAAAACTGTGCAGAAGGACAAGAAATCTGATAAATTTAACCGATTCTCTACAATGTCTGACAAGCTCAAATGTTCTTTTCTTTCATCTCATAAAATCACTTTCTTCAATTTACCTTTCTTTGATAGCCCCACACCAGCCAGTGTGGAGAAAACTAATTCCAACTCAATCCTCTCCCGAAATACTAAAATATTTCTCTGACATATTAAAAATGTGGTATTTATACCACATATATTTATTTATAAGCTGGAAATTTAAACTTTTTCCTGCCTCAGATGTCAACTTCTCACCCTTAATTACTGACTAGGAGAGTCAGAAGATAGCTATCAACCTTCAATCCAAAGCTGTCTTCCAGATATCAAAAGTTTGTCACAGTCATTCAAACTGAAAAAAAAATAGGGAAGAAAAATCTCAATTTCCTTTGGGAAAAATATCCTCCTGAACACGCCTGTCTGCATTACACAAAAGTAGTTCACACTAGCAGTGTTTTACAACAATCAACCTTTAAATCCCAGTGTCTGAAAATAACACAATGAACTGGTTCACCCCGTGGAAGCAGGATGGAGGAAAGGAAAAGCATTCCATAGCAGAGGAACAACCACCAGAGAAGAACAACTGCAGCTGAGATGACCTTCAGCGTTAAGGAGGAGTCTGTAAACACCTTATTGGTGTATTTATTGAAAATGGTGCCTTCCCTGGCCCTGGGCAAACACACAAACATGTGGCTGTGCTGAAAGCCAAGCAGCTATTCCTGAGTGCAGGCATTTGAAGGGCATTCCACGATAAGGCTGTTGCTGGAGTGGAGCTATCTCTGATCTCAGCTGGAGCAGGCACAGGTGACTGCAGTTGTGTTGTCACATCAAGTGCCACAGCAACACAAGCTGTCCCAGAGGACAGGGAGTAAAACCCACTGAATAAATCCGAGTTGTTTTAAAAAGCTCCCTTAAAGTAAGCACTAAATGCTCAGTGCACACCAGAGACAGAACTCAATCCCAGTCCTGCAATACTCAGTTTTCAGCTCAGACCTGTAAACCATTATCATTTCCTCCCCTTCATTAAAGAAAATTAGCAAACTGATAATCCTCTTCTATAAGATTATTGTTTGCAGCAAACTTTAAGAGATAAATAATCACAATGCTTTTTCTGTGAAAAACCAGCTTTATCTGCAGTAACAGTAAGCTGGAGTTACAGAGATAACACTAAGAAGCAAAAACCAAATTCCTTTGCTAACAGGAGAATCTCATGACTTGAATGTTAAACTGCATCTAAAACTGGAGGGATAGTTCATTACAATACAATGAAATGAGTAATACTTTACATTTATGTAAAATCTTTTACCCAGCAACTGTAAAGTTCCTCATGAGCACTGATTAACAAATCACAACTATCCACCTAAATATATACCTTAGAATAAAGGTAGAACTAAATTTATTAGAGCAGATATTCACTGCACCCACCCTGAGATGCAAGGGCCTGATTTTTAATCAATATCCTCAGAGAAGCCCTAAAATACCCCTGTCATTCTAGACACTCACAAATCAAGAAGCCCTGATTACTGGTTCACTTGTGTGGGCAGAAAGTACCCAAAATTAGCTCTGGAAGAGAAGGGACTGAATTCATGTCTGTGGACTGTCAGTTGTGAGCATCAACTTGACTTTGGTAGCAGGTTCTTATCCTACAAATATTAACTATGGGCTTAGCTTTCTTGCTACAAAGATTGGGCTGTGAACATAAAAGGATAACACTGAATAATTTGCTTAGATTAGATCAATAATGTCAGTGAAAACACTTCTATCCCACTTAGCTTCTGCTTTAGCACAAAATATAACCTGGGTGGGAGATATCAGGTCAAGTATTTACATTTTGTAGTAACCCATGTCTGCCTGGAAGAGAAAGAAAAACAACTTGTCTTTCATTTGACAGTGTTTGAACTGTGATCTAAACAAAGTTTATTTGAAACTAAAATAACCCCAAAACATGCACATAAAACCTCACAACATATAATTCCTACAGCCCTCCCTGTTCCTGTGTTAAACTGCTGGCAGGGATGCTTTTAGTCTTGCGCAGGGGCTGCTGCCCATTCTGAGGCTTGTGGCAGCAGCTTTCCCTGTCTCAAAGAAAAGGGAGGAAATAATGTGCAGATCCATCCCAGCTTGGAAACTCAGGCACTTCTGTGCCTCCAACATCCTGGGAGCACATCCTGGGAGCTTCCTACACCCAAGAGGTGCCCCGGGAACTCCGTGTGTGTGTCTGCACCTTGTGCCTGACCCTGCACACATCAGATGTGGCCATGCAAATCTGTGCACCCCAAAACCTGATGGATGTGCCTGTGTGTGTGCCCTAACACCGAGGGGTGCACACACATCCCAGCTCCCAAGGAAAGCACGGATACACGTGCCCTGGCTCCCAAGGGGGGCACACACACAAGCAGGGTGCGTGTGTGCCCGTGCACGAAGGCAGGAAGATGTTGGGGCGCACAGTCCTGCACCCCAACACTGGGAAGACGTGGATGTTGGGCAGGGGTGCAGCAGCTGTGCATCCCGACGGGAGATGCTGCTGGTTGTGCACCCTGTTGCTCAGAGGAGCTGGGATACGGAGCAGCTACACAACCCAACTTCGGAGGGGTGTGGAGCATCCAGACACCTCAGCCCCAGGAATACGCGAGTGCAGGGCGGCTGAGCACCCCGAAACACGGAGGTACGGGATTGCGGGGTGCCTGTGCTCCCTGCTGTGTGCAGGGCAGGAGTGTCCAAGCAGGGGAAAGGGGTCGGTGCAGGGGAGGGATGGCAGTTCATGGGTGGGGTGTCAGTGCAGGGCTGAGCTGTCCGTGCAGGGGAGGGGTGTCCGTGCGGGGCAGGGGGGTCGGGGCACGGGTGAGGTGTCAGTGCCGGGTTGAAGTGTCCGTGCAGGGGTGAGGGATCCGTGCAGGAGACGTGCAGGGATGAGGTGTCCGTGAAGGAGTGAGGTGTCCGTGCAGCGGAGGGGTGTCGGTGCATCCTGAGCCCGGGCACCGGGGGCGGCGGGCGCCCCGTTCCCGGCGGGTCAGCGGCGCGGCCATCATCCCACCCAGCGGCGGACTCCGAAGAGGGAAGAAAGGGACCGGCCTTGCGGCCCGTGACCTTGAGGGACACCCCGCCGAGCCGCACTCCCCGCCCCAGGCCCGGCCGCTGCCCCACGACCGGGGCGCCATTTCCAGCCGGGGAAGGGGAGAGGCGCGGGCGGAGGGGGGGGGAAGCTCTGCGCGGGCGGCACTGGCTCCGCCGCCCAGCCTCCCGCGGCGGCCCCGTCCCGCCCGCTCGCCCCCTCGGGGCTCACCTGAGGGCCAGCCCGCCGCCGGGCGGCAGGCGCGGCACGGCGGCCGCTCCCGCCAGGCTCCGCCGCAGCAGCACTCGCGCCGCCATCTTGCTCAGGCCGCCTTCCTGCTGGGCCGGGGGCTGCGGCCACGCCCCCTGGCGGGGACCCGCCTGTGCGCATGCGCGGCTGCCCCGGCTCGGGGCCCCCCTCACGGCCCCTCAGCTTTGGGGGGACCCGCACCCGGTTTAGGGGGATCCAGGGGAGTTTGGGGGGCCCAGTCCCGCTTTGAGGGTCCCATCCTGGTTCGAGGGAGATCCAGGCTCCTGTTAGGGGGGGAATCCAGACTATGTGTGTGTGGGGGGTATTTCCCAACCCCCTATTTAGGGGACCCCAGGCCCAGTTTGGGGGTTACTCCTCGTCCCGGTTTGTGGGTGACCCCTCTTTAGCGTCTCACCTCAAAACCACTAAGAGCAAGCCCAGGCGTTTTTTGAATCACATGCAAAATCTTGTTCCTCGTTCTCCTGCTATGTTTTTCCCCACAGTGCAGTTGAAGGGTTTTCTTCACACTCTGTTCAGCCACAGTCAGGGATAATTTGGTTGAACGGGTGGCGTGTGATGGCATCGAATCCTTAAGTAACTTGAAATTAAGGATAAACTGATAACTAGGGTAATACTTAAAGAGCAGTTCTAAAAACAACAAGCCAATAAACACAGAAAAGTCAATGACTAATCCTTATCTTTCCACATAGCACCTATAACATTTTTATCACATCACTGCACACTTTCCCTTGCCTTTTTATGATTTCTCTATCAGCACTCTTGTGAGAGTAATCCCAAAGATAACATCTAAGATGTGCTGTAACATCACTAAAGTACAGTTGTTGTGGTGCCTCTTTAAAACAGTTTAACCTACAATTGTCATCCCTCTATTAAATAACAGTTTGAAATGTTATTTGTTTTTAGTCACATTTTGATCTGACAGCATGCTGAGTTCTTGAACAACCCTCCCAGAGCCCACCTGTACACTGGAAAAGCGATAACCTTCCATGATGAATCAGTCTTAGAAAAAAAGACTGAAAAAAAGACTCAGAAAAAAAAGCTGTGGCATTTTCACAGCTACTCGGGAGAAATCACAGGAAATAAAAGTATTTACTTCCCTAATTACATGTAAGTGCAACTACAACCAAGCAGGAAACTTTTCCTATTTCTTATAAATACTATGTCTAGTTATTAGAACACTCGTATCCCATGTACTGAGGGTCAAGTTCCTTTACTCCCTTCTTAGATACAACTTCAGTGTATTTTCTACAGCCCAGGGCCATGTTCTGTCCTGGGTCTGATTTCTCTCAATCTCTGCTTGGATGAAGTTTCACATTTTACATTCACTTGGACGGGAGTCAAAGCCCAGATTTCCTTCCCTTGGCTGAGGGCCTCCATCAGCCAGCTACAGTTACTGAGTAATTTACATAAACCTAAACCTCTGCAACAAACATCAGTAAGAATAACCTACAGCCACCTGCTTAAGGCACCTCCTCAAACTCAGAGACCGTGGCCATATTATTTTACACAGGGATATTTAAACCAAGGTGTCTTCACACCCCATCCCACTGACCTGACACACAGGACAGCACATGAGGACAAGCATTTAAAGAGCAGCAATTTTTTGGTTTGGAACACTGAAGGAATTTTAAGTTTCTCATTCTTCCTGTCCCAAACAATTTGCTGAGTAAAATCAGACCTTTTTAGTGGTTTGTGGGTAGCCAAAACTGATTTTGTGCAGGTGCAGGAAGCTAAAGGGCAAATGATTTACACAGTGGAAGAGAACATAACTGGTAGCTACTAGTGCAAGATGGCTCAGTTTCTTTAAGGAAATTAAATTATCTTAGGTCAGAAGAACTCTGTTCAGATACACCTTGTTTAGCTTCTGATCTTAAACAAAGGCCAATGACACAGGCAGATACTTCAAAAAACTTTCTCACAACTTTCATACCCCACATTCCTCTCCCACAGCTGCTGGGTTTTGAGGCAGATGCTCCTTTAGATCCAAAGGAGAAGTCAGGAACACAAGGCTGCTGCAACAACTGCACTCTCTCAGCTTGCTCTTTGTCCTGGAAGGCAGGACACAATACTCCCAGAGCTGTATCAGGATAAAGTGGTCTTTTATCATTAACTGCTATGGCCTTCCAGCTCCATATTAAAGCATGCAGCAAATCAGCACCTGTATCTCCCTAAAATGTGTTGTTTTAATTAGGTTTTCTGATGGGACTAAATCTAACCATCTTTACTTTTACTTTTTTGGCTTCGTGTTCTCACCAGCTTCTCTGTCCTGCTGGCAGTTCAAAGAGATCCAGCTCTCCCAGAACTAAATACTCCCTTTGGACAAGTTACCAAGCCAACCATTCTAAGCTGCCCAAAGGTTTTATTCTCACCTTACTGCCACTAGAAAAGCAAGGGGCTGTGTCTTTGTTAGAGATTTTGGAAGTCAGAATGCACTGCAGTGTGGGATAAGTGACCGTAAGTGGAAATAAGGACACAAGCATGTAGCTGCTTTTAAAATTCTACACTTCCCTTCAAAAGCTTTAATAGCATTATCTCCAGTAATCCTACAAACCACAAAAGACTGTCTGAAATACAGAACAATCAAATAATATAATGGCCCTCCCACCAAAATGAAACATTATACAGTTGTATTTTTCTTTCTCAATACACAAGAGTCATTCCAGGAGGGCAGCTGGCTTTGGGAACTGTCACTGCTTGGGAAAAACTATAGGCAATAAAATGAAGTGTTAACACTAAACTTGCATTTCCTCTATATTTTCATTCAAAGCTCTGGAGTGCTCATCAATCTGTACCATCTCTTTGCATAAGCAACTACATTTACTATTTATTTTGACTACAGATTTCACTGAAACATTTAACATACCACAACAGGGCTTCAAACACCCCTGACAGAGAGAGACAAGCTGGAAGCCCCCTGCTTAAATATTTCACCCACTATTTGTCTGTTGAACAAACTTTCAGTTCCTGAAGTTTTTCACTTAGATAGGTAGTATCTGCCTCTGTCAGGTTTTCCGAATCTGACAGATTTTCCAGGAATCTGGTTCCTGCACAGGGCTTCCCTGTGATTGGATCTATGACATTTCCAACCTTGAACACAATTTCAGCCAGTTCGTGTTTCACGTGTTTGCTCCTTCGCTCAGGCAGAGCTTTCAGCAGAACAATGTCTCCAACAACACACTGCTGCAGTGGATCGTGGGCAAAATAGGTTTTTCTTTTGTTAAAGAACTGTAAAAGAAAAAAAAAAAAAGAAACCCTGGCATTAGATTTCAAAGTTTCTTGCTCAATTCATTTTCTTTCACATAAAAATCTAATATTTGTTCTTATTGGTACAGCAGAATTCAGAATCTTTTGAGAAATAAATTAACAGGTCCTTCTGCTGGATAAAATATTGACATGGGTTCCACAAGATCCATATCCAATCCTGACTATCCTTAACCTCCTGCTCAAAGGCAAGTTATTCCACCTCCACGTACCACAGTTTCCCCATATAGAAATTGAGAAAATATTATTTTAACATACTTCTTTGAAGTGCATTGACAAGAAATAAATACAAACTTGTATAGCACATCACAGCATAGATACAAACACTAAGCAATGTTACAATTATGCATACAGAAAAACAGCTATAAAACTTACTGTAAAAGTGACTAACATAATGTCAAGTTTCCAAAGCATACTCCACATCAACATGAAAAATTAAACCTAAGTGTGAAACAACAAAAACTTTACCTTCTCAGCTGAGATCAAATGAACTGCACTAAGAAGGCACTTCAAAGAAATACATTTAGCAGATAATTTGTAAGTCCTCACCACACAGTGCTTTTCATCCTTTGCAGTCAACCCCACAGCCAAATCCTCATGCAAGTTTCTTTAGGAGTTTGCATTGCAGAGTCATCAGAAATTCTAAGAGTCAAATGAACAGAACACTCCTCCACACAATACAGAAACCACAAGCTGTTAACCAGCTGCTGTTACCTTCAGTAAATAGGGATCCAGCACGAGCCTTGTCACTCTCACTTTGGCAGTTTTCTGCATTTTGGTTCCTATTACTTTCCCTACTATCCATTTTGCATGGACAGCTCCACGTGGGACAGACATTGTTTAGTTATGGTCATCCAGTGCCTGGCAACAAGCAAGCAGAGGTGCTATTTTAACAAAATAAAAAACATCACCAGTTCCTGATCAACATCAAAATTTTCCCATTTCAGACTGACAGCTTAATTAGGTAACTTTGTCGGAAAAGGGTAGATATAAACAGTTCCAAACTCCACATATTGCACCACCTCACCTTGTTTAACCATATAAGGGATATGAACATGTCCTCATTACCAGGGAGAGTTACT